CATCCTCCAGGCTGGTGACAAGGTCCTTGTAGCCATCAAGTCTCAGTGAGGAAAAGCCAAACTGAAAGACAGGTGGGAAGTAGACTCCAACATCGTTGTTAGGAAAAAGCAGGGCATCTCAGTCTATGTGGTCGGGTGGATAGGCTCTCTTAACACCAAGACTCTTCACCGCAACATGCTCATGCTCTACCCATTCGACATAGTATCGGCATCAGGAACTTCAGACTCTGGACGGTCACAAGATTAACCTCAGCTGAGGCCAGCAGGACCACCCTCCGCAGATGACAGTACAGAGAATGGTCAGTCCCGTGACAGCTCAAGATCTGAATTGTCAGGTCAGCGTGAGTTGGAAGGAAGTGGCCACATCGATGACAGCACTAAGGTTGATCAAGGCCAGGACAGCAGAAGACACCCGCCTCTACCAAGACGCCATAGAAGAGGATGGCCTGTAACACCACAGCTGGAAGAGCCTGGCTCCAATACAGACACCGAGAACAATGACTTGTCATCAAAGGAAGTGCTCTCCAGACAGCGACCACAGCAAAGGCGAAGACCACCTCAGCGCTTTGGGGAGTGCTGTACCGTAATAACTTTGGTTATATGGTGTATCACATGTATATAAGTTTCCATTGTTGAGGACAAGAAGGATTTTAAGTGGTGGCAAGTGTGGAAGGGAGATTTAAATGTTTTTCTATATGACACATTTTGTTTTACAAGCTTCCTTAGTTTAGTCAGCAACTTGCCTCATACCCTGTATCACCCTATAGTTAGCACTGCTTATTAAGCCTCCTGCAGTTGACTGTTGACTGTTCAGACTGGTGCGTGCTACTGAAGAGTGAACATTACCACTCACAGCTCTCTTCAGCCTTCCTACATTTGCACTTTTATGCTCTTGTCACCAGTCACAGCTGGGTTGGTGTCTGATTGATCACTCAAGTAATCCACTTGTGGCACTGTGTTGGATTGTTATTACTTTTTTTTTTTGGTTGTTTCTTTAGTCACATATGCAATTCATTTATTATTTTCCTTGGAGGACCACAACAGAAAACTATTTTTTTCCTTTGTATGGTTGGTATCAGTACAGAGATGGATCTCAGTTAAAGTTCATTGGCCAACTGTCAAATTCTTTCTTTTTTTATCGTGTCCTGACCCTCAAAATAAATTGTGACCTTGTCCTCCTGAACCAGGTGTCTTCAGATCTCATTACTTTCCCAAAGTCTCATGTAATTAATTTAGCGATGTAAATTTCTAGCCTTCATGTGCATTGAGGTTTGGTTCCCAGACACAAGTGTATTTTACGATCAATTTATGTATGGTACACATTTTCCTTTGTGTGGAAAGGTGCCCTGATAAATACACAGCGTGCTTAACACATGCAAGTTTGTACATGGACGTGTACATACCAATGCAAAAAAATCATTGTAACCACATAGCTGTATACTTTTTACCACTTTTTATAAGCTTTTGTGAAGAGAAAAAAATCAAATCAAATGTACATTTGCTGACTGCTTTTCTTGGCCACAAAAAATGGACACTTTTATTTAAGAAACTAGTACCTGTCCATTGGGCAATTTATCCGAAATTTTTACTGACCCAAACTGAGAGAAGAAATCTCTCCCAGGCAATCGGAAAACGGCGAACGTTGAGGCCTGTCATGGGACATTGTTTTTCCTCCTGCCACTATTCTTTGTTCATCTACTGCCAGTCATACTTTTCGAGTTAGAATGGATCCTCAGGCATCATAGAGAAATCACCATTTTATTGTGTACTCTTTTAGAGGGGGGCAAGAAAAGGGGGTACGCTTTGTACGCTTGAGAAAATGATCACAAAAATGGATGACCCCTAAAAGAACAATGACAATGAGTATTAAAATAGGCAATGAAATGAGCAGATATATATTGTACTAATTAGTCTGTTTCTTCTCATTTGGAGATATAACTTCCAAGATTCAACCTAAATGCTATTCCCACACTCAAACATACTCTATGCTTGTCACCAGTGTGACGACAGCTTTGAACAAAAAATGTAATCTACACAAGCACATAAAAAATATCCACACTGAAGAGGAATCAGACATATGCTAATGCCTTTTAATGGGCATGATGTCATCCAAGGCACTGAATCTCAATGTTGCACTGGTTTGTGCACAGAAAATTTCTGAATTTGCTATGGCAGATTTCATTTTCTTTGGCAATATATTGCTGTGTAAGTATATGGCAAAAATCTTGCAACAATCCTGTTCACAGAAATATTCCCAGATATTAAATTTGAGGTTCACAATTTGACATGAAAACATGCAACCTGAACCATGTCTTCCTTGATTAACATCAAAGCAAAAGCGTCCTCACTTGTCCGGAAATGCTTGGTCAATTTTAATGTTTGAAAAAGTGCACAGTTCAGTTTACGTAACTCAAAAAAATGTCAAACTATCCTCATACGTAGAAAAAGAGTACAGAGATTCACAAAAAGTGATTCTAAGAAAAATTCATTTCCTGGATCCTTTAAAGAGTGCTCCTTTAATGTCATGTGATTTGTCATCTGACGATGTCATCATTGCACCAGGTCAATTTGGGTCTAAAATCTTTCCCTTTCTAGCCACACACAAAGTTTCAACCCAAACGGTCAAGCACTTCATGAGATATAGCACTTTAAGAGTGCCCCTTTAATGTCACATGATTTGCCACCCGATGACATCATTATGACAAACTTGTACAGCAACCTTTCTAGCTTGTGGCCTGAGTGTGTGCCCCTAACACGAACAAGGATAACAGTGCAAAAGCAGTCTTCCTATTGAAAAACATGTACAAAACCTATATATATGAGGGACAAATAAAATATTCAAAATTCAAAAATAAATCATGTGATGACATCATCACGAAGAGTTTCTTCTACAGTAGGGCCTACCTGACATGATTATCTAAAGGTTTGCCAAGTCTGAATTCAATCAGATGTATAAATCTATTAAAATAGAGGTCAAGGGCTTTTTTGCACTCTCTTTTTAACTTCGATCGACCGATCAACTGCATGAACCTTAACGAAAGCGTAACATCATGTCCGTTTCTCTCAAGCTACCTGCAAGGTTTCAACCAAATGGCACATGTACTTCAGAAAATATTGGGCTTTAAGGAGTGCACCTTTAATGTCACTACATGGCTTGGCTCCTGATAACGTCATCATTATTCAATATACGTCTGTAACACTTCCCTTTCAAGTTATATGCAGAGTTTCAAACCGATGGGACATGTACTCCAGGAGATATAGGGCTGTAAACATTCATATTGCATGACTTGTCTCCTGCTGACATCATTATCAAATGAGGTCTTTTTTCCTTTTTCAACACTTTCCTTTTTAATTATGTGCAGTTTGGAACAGGTACGTCAGGAAATACAGGGCTTTGATGGGTGCACCTTTAATGTCACTTGACTTGTCACATGGTGATGTAATCATCATATCAGGGCAGTACTCGTCTAAAGTACTCCGATTCTAAGATATCTGCAACGTTTGAACCCAATCACACATGTACTTTAATGAGATACAGTGCTTTGAAGAGTGCACCTTTAATGTCATATGACATACCGTAATAATCTGATGACATCATCATCAGTGTCAATTTTCATCTGTAACACTTCACTATCTAAATACCTGCCAAGTTTCAACCCGATCGGACACGCGCTTCAGGAGATATAGCACTTTAAAGGATACACCTTTAATGTCACGTGACCCGTCTGCTGATTTAATTGTTATCACATGAGGTCAATCTCCGTTTATAAACCTTCCCTTCCTAACTGTCTGCAAGGTTTCGACCCAATCAGACATGTACAATACAAAAGACAATACAAAACATTATTGTTCAGATTAGAGATTGCAAACATTTTTCCTGTTGGCATCCCATACAATGCAATCTGCTCTGAGCATCATGTGCTTGGTAATTTTCCGACTGCTAAGTATATGCCCTATGCACTGTGCGCTGCCTATGTTACAGGCAGATATTATGTGTCCACACACACAAACAGTAGCCGATGCACACTATGTGAATGGGATTTGAGTTTGCAAATATTGTTACGGTTTTTGTCCTCTCATGTTTCATCTGTGTGAAGAAGTTCACCACTTGTGCACTTCGTGCAGTTGACTCCAATGTTTGAGCTATCATCCTCATGCACAATTCACACTTGCATCTAATACGGTTGATTTTTTCCCGAATTTTCAAGAATAAATAACTTTTTACTGTAACTTCCTTGTAACAGGACGTAAAACACTAGTTCAAACGATTGAGAAATTCAGCCAGGGCCATCCGGGCTACTTCCTATATTGATCAGATCATCCCCGTAACCATAGTGAGATGAATGCCATGCTGTTAGCATGTGCTCGTCCTATCTTGTTTAGTGTCCACGGATTAAATCAGACTGAAGCTCACTCCGAAGTACACACTAGTCACCACACAGCTCCACGTGCAGCCCTAAGTTTGTTTGAAAGATTAACCCCCATTACCTGGTGTCGTGCACAGTCCTTTGTCCTAAAGGTTATCCTTATTACCCAGTGTCGCATAGAGCCCATTGTCCACCTAAGTTTATTATTAAATTGCATCATGTTGTGCAATTTTTCTCACAGGAAGAGTCAAACTGCGCCATAGTTTTTTACATTTTTATTCATCCCTTACAAAAGGATAATCTGTGCCAACATGCTTACCCATTCCTCATTGCTTTTTATTTCCAAAAAGGTCAGCAAAGTGTGCTGGATAGTACCACCCACTACAGACCTAATGTTCCCAACATCGACCCAGTTGGTTGTGGACAGAAAATGCCTCTCTTTTTTTATTTTCAGAGGCCAAATTCATTGTATACTTGTTTCTGGGTGGCCGATCTACCTCCCAACTCCCTAGATGTCACAAAACTTGAAGCCTTTTCTGTACCTCTTTAAGCCCTCCACAGGTTGCATATAGCAGTAGGTAGGGCAGCTTGTTCATTTATCCCAAAAAGGCAACAAAAAATGGCATATCTTACCAAGACATACACTGAACACCTTGCTTGCATCAGTACAAGTCGTAGTTACTGGTACCAGATCTTTAAATGTTATTGTCTCATCAGCTGCAGTGAGATGAGCAATTTCTCTGTCAGTGAAATAAGAGCATAAAACCCTGACATTTGTTAGAATCAGCTGTAAACTCTCTCTTGGAGCAGAATATACCTCCATTCAATTCATACCCATTCCTACATCAGCAGGTGTGAAATGCAGTGTAAATTTATAGTATAAAAACTTGTTCAATCAGTTAAAATGCGTTCTCAAAAGTTATTTCATCTTCACAATACAGCAGTGATCGAGCTAAAAACTTCATGAATTATAGTTGGCGCACTCTGACCAGATTCAGAGTAGTTTTAAACTGCTAATTAGACATTGGTGGGTTATGTAGCATGGCCCTTTACTTTAGTGACAATGATACATTTCTAAGAGTAAGTTTCTGTATGTGTTTATTTTTGTCAGAAGCCTTGGGATGAGGTTGATTAAGAACTGAAACCAACGAGCAATTTCAACATGCTTCATTTCAAATTTGTTTCTTTGGCATAAGATGCTTTGTGAGTCATATTAATTTACAAGTAGCACATTTTTCTAGGAAAGAATAAAAAAAGAACAAAATGTGGATAAGGAAACAAATATTAATTCGCTATCATAGTGAAATACCTCAGTTAATTTGTGCCTTTATCTTTTCATTTGGAATGGTCAGAATTACAGATAGTAAAACAAAAAATAGAACAAAGTGTTTTTGAGACCATCACAAGACAAGACACAAGACCGTGCACAAGTAACAGGGTGAACAATGACAAAGGAATGTTTCTGTTGCAGTTTATTTGAATAACTTGTGGCTTGAATTCAGACTGGAGGTCTTGTGTTAGTCTTGTGCGGTCTTGTGAAGGTCTTAAGTGGTCTCGACTACAACACCAGTAGAACATACACTCTCAATCACAGGGAAAACTCCCTGCACTGATTTAAACTGAATTAAATTTGAGACAACCCTTCAAAGATCATGATAAAAGGAATTTTTCAAATTAAGATAGTCATGGAGCAGGCATACCATTAATGAAAATTTACACAAACAGGAAGCTAAATTTTCCGACCACTAGCCCTACCTGAAGGTGTGTGGAGGGCCATAAGTGATCTGCAGATCAACCTTGCCAGTGCATTTAATACTGGCAGTCAGGAATGTCCTGTGTACCATGGATTTTTGCAAAACAAATTACATGATCTGTACTTTGAGTGTTAAAATGAATAGCATTTTAAACATTTTTCTTAAAGCAGTGAACTAAAAAAAATGAAATAAGTCGGGGTAATGGTACACAAAGCAAATAAACCCCAAAATAAGCCAATTAAAGCAACTGCAGTACATACATGTACATGCAAATCATGCACACTACTTTTAACCATGAGACAGAGGTGCCACTACTGTCCTAATGCTACTTTGCTAAATGCACGCTGACATGTTATGTTCAACCTGATTGCATTTAATTTCATGTTCAAATTGCTACTGTTGTCTAGTCTGTGTATGTACCTTCCAATCATTCCTAATGTGTATTTGATCAAATAAAAACCACAAAGACCTTGTGTATTATTTTAATCTTAATTATTAAATGAAAAATGGTAAGAAGTTGTTCTCGTTCCCTTTTGTTGGTATTCTTTTGAAGAATAGTAAACAATGCAACCCTTTTTCATTTCAAAAACTATAAATGATAAAACTTTTGTTACACTGCTTTTTTTGTTTTTAAATACAACAAATAAAATAGGTTCATGTGTGTTTCAGAGTGAGTCTAACTTGATCAGGTGATACTAATTTCATGACACCACAGAAGTTTTGCTGCAGTAACCTCTTATTTGAGCAAAATAACCTCTTTTGTGTGAAATTTATGCTTTTGATGTGTTCTTTAGTTCTTCAATTATGTTGGCCTGAGAAGAGTACACTTTTAAGGTAATGTCAGGTTGCATGACTGCCTCAACACAATGTATAGACAAATGTGATGAGGCACCATTCTGAGGGGCCAAATTTACACTCACCCAGCTGTCTCAACCTGAACACATGCACTGTGACAACTGACTACTGCTTATCGGCCAAGGAAGAATCCCATGTGCACACACCGCTTGCGTGTGAACAGGATGGCCCTATAGTAATGACTTCAAATTGTTGTCACTGGATTTGTCTATAGCTGTGATATATCCCTGCATACAACACTATACTTTACAGCATAAAAACACCAGGTTGCCCCACTATTGCACCAATATGCCAAACCAACTAACTTGCATCTCAAAATGGCTGCTTTGCCAACTTCTTTAAGGTTTTGTATTTGTTACATTATTCCCACTTCAGAAGGAATGTGTCCTCACATCTTCTTTTCTTGTCAAAACCTTGAACCGTTTGCCATGACTGAATTTTTTTAATTTAACAGTTACAAAAGCCTTAAGCGAACATTTTAACATTAGTAACAATACAATTTTGCTCCTAACCACTTCCTGCTGGGGACTCCGAGATCGGAGACGTATGGTTTATAT